GAGGAGGACTAACTATCCCGCTGACTACGTTAGTGTGTAGACATGTCGTGTGACGGTCCCATTCACTATTGGCGCCTGGCTTCGTTAACTGCGGGTTGTACAGTCTCAGTGTATTATTAGTGTCTAAAACTCGCCGCTCATCTTAGTATCGGTCTGTTTTTCTGGTGAGGGGTGGGGGGGGGGCACCATCGGTGCATTTTTAGGCAGGGCTCAGTGAGAGAAACAAAATTCTTCAGGTAATATTAGTACAAGACAAAAATGCGTCGCAGTTTGCTTTGTTGGGGTTTTTTTGTCCATCAGTATAATTCTTTATACAGAAATAACACGCAATACCTTTTGTCACGGTGGCTGTAACTATTGGGTGCGCGCTCATATGACCTTAGCAGTTGCGAGCGCCGTAAAACCTTATACTAATACTATACTAACTATTGGGTGGTACTGGTAATCAAATAGCTTCGGTATCGTTAAAAAAAAATGCGGACTCGGACAATGCACGGCTTTGATTTTTGTTTTTTCGAAAATACGAAGCTCTGATGCTTTCCCCATACAGGAAATCAGAGTTTGATTCCCAAGAGGAGATACTCTTTTACAGAGTACCTCGGTCTCTCTGTAAAGATTTTGTATTCAATTCCTTTCAGCTCTAGTTGACCCTGACTGGTTGTGTCGAAGCTCGCCTCTTGAATTATCAAAACTGTGTAGATGGGGGCGTAAAACACCTACATTTGTTTGTCTGGATTGGATTTGTTTGTTTTTTAAATTACAGTCGTAACTGTGGTGATTTCAAATACCCTTCCCGGGGATAATAATATGCTACACCATAACATTAGTATTGTTCATGCTCTCACCTCATCAGCAGAGACGGACGAATGATTAATAACCGGCGACGCTTCCTTTTTCTGTATTGATGCTTATTTTGGCTTTCTGCCATCAGATTTCTGCTAAACACAAAACAAATTTGCAGAACTTTGAAAAGTTTTTGAGATATAGCAATTGCAATTTTGACGCACATCAGAGAATATCACATTTTGATTTCAGATAGTCCGTGGGTGGTTGGCGGGCTCTCCGGAATAGTTAGTCTTTCCCATCTACTATCTATCATCCTTATCTCTCCCCTTTTTGATAATTGTTACTCTCTTGTAACACATCTAAGCTTCTGCACTTATGTTATGACCTATTGTGTTGCAAGTGCCGTAAAAACGCTTACTAAAAGTAAAGCTAAAGATAGTGGCAGAGATGAGCTACGTGGCCTCTCTCTTTCTCTCGAGTGAATGTATAGAAAGCGATATTATAATTGAGGGAATATGGCCACTCCAGCAAAGACAAATCCAGGGCGACTCGTAAGCCGGATTATTTTGTGGCCTTGGCTAGTTTCTTCTACAGCGAGAGAAGACTCCATCTATCACTAGCCAGGGTTGCTGAAGTTTAAACCATACTAAGCTTGTTTGCCATAAGTCAGACCACAGTAATTATAATAATAATAATAATGATAGTAGTAGTAGTAGTAGTAGTAGTAGTAGTAGTAGTAGTAGTAGTAGTAGTAGTAGTAGTAGTAGTAGTAGTAGTAGTAGTAGTAGTAGTAGTA